AGACCGTAGATGAAGCTTCCCGTGCCACACCACCCGCGTGAGAGGTGTACCGAAATGGGCAGCGGAACGCCACACAAACTCGCCAACTTGTACCATATTGAGGTGGAACTCCTCACGGTGCACGATCCACGTGACGGGTGCGTCGTAATGGACTGGGGCGACATGCTCAGCCTGACTCTGTGGACGTAGGTGTGGCTCCCTCTGGGGCACGATCCATGCGACGGTGAGGCAACATGGGCGAGGGGCGGCATGCAAACCCTGTCTCCGAGACCCTGCAGGGCTACCTGAGGGGTACGATCCACGTGACGGTTGTGTCTCAGTGGACGGGGGTGGCACGAGCACTGTGTAGGTGTGCTAGGTGTGCGAGGTGCAGGCCATGGGTGGAGATCCCTGTGGGGTGCTAGGTGTGTCGACAAGGGCGGGGTGGCAACATGCGGACTGTGAAACTGGGGCCGTAGGCGGACCTCCCTGAGGGGCACGACAAGTGTTAAAAGGCTTGCCGAAATGGGCGGGGGGACAACATGCGGACTGTGTCGCTGGGGCCGTAGGCGGAGCTCCCTGTGGAGTGCACGTCCGTGTGAGGGGTGTGTCGGAATGGGCGGGGTGGCGGCATGCGGACTGTATGGCTGGGGCCTCAGGTGGAGAGTCTAGGGCGTGGGAGCCGAGGGCCCAGAAGCCCAGGGCCATGGGATTGAGAAAACCCACGTGTAAAAATGAGATTCTGGGAGCCATCATAAGCCCATCCAGCCTCACAAAAACAATGGGTGACACGTGTCACCCCGGAAACCGTGTGCGAGAAACCGATTGTAAGATTGGGATTCTGGGAGCCGCCATAAGGCCATTCAGTTTCACAGAAACAGCGGGTGACACGTGTGAGCCCCGAAGCGGTGAGACAAAACCCAATTGTAAAGTTCGGAGTCTGGGAGCCAACACAAGGCCGTACAGCCGCACAAAAACAACGGGTGACACATGTCACCCCGGAAACCGTGTGACGGCAACCCATTTTAGAGTTGGGATTCTGGTGGCCAACATATAGCTATTCAGCTTGACAAAAGCCACGGGTGACACGAAGCCAACATAAAACCATTCAGCCGCGCAACCCAACGGATGACACGTGTCACCCCCAAGACAATGTGACAAAACCAACTGCGAATGGGAGCCAACATGAGGCCATTCAGCCTCACAAACACAACGGATGACACGTGTCACCTCCGAAACCGTGTGGCAAAACCCACATGTAAGGTTTGACTTGTGGGAACTGACATAAGGCCATACAGCCTCACAAGAACAACAAGTTAACGTGTCACCCCCGAAACCGTGTACGAGAAACCAATTGCAAACTTGGGATTCTGGGAGCAAACAGAAAACCATTCAACTTCACAAAAACAACGGGTGACACGTGTCACCCCCGAAACCGTGTGACAAAACTCATTTGACAAATCTGGATTCTGGGAGCCAACATAAGGCCATTCAACTTTAAAAACAACGGGTGACACGTGTCACCCCCGAAACCATGTGAGAAAAAAACAATTCCGAAATGGGGGTTCTGGGAGACAACATAAGACCATTCACCTTCACAAAAACAACGGGTGACATGTGTCACCCCCGAAACCGTATGTCAATAACCAAATGTGAACTGCGGATTCTGGGAGCGAGCACAAGGCTAGTCAGCCTCACAAACGCAGCGGGTGACACGTGTCACCCCCGAAACCGTCTGAGAACAACTAATTATAAAGTTGGGATTCTGGGAGGCAACCTGAAGCCTGTCAACTTCACAAAAACAACGGGTGACACATGTCACCCCCGAAATCATTTGAAGAACACCACTTGAAAATTTAGGATTCTGGGAACTAACACAAGGCCACTCAACCGCACTAAAACAATGGGTGACACGTGTCACCCTCAAAACCGTGTGACAAACACCACTTGCGAAAGGGGGATTCTGGGAACAATCATAAACCCATTGAGCCTCACAAAAACAACGGGTGACACGTGTCACCTCCGAAACCGTGTGACAAAACCCAATTGTACGTACATGGGATGCTGGGAACCAACATAAGGCCATTCAGCCTGACAAAAGAAACGGGTGCCACGTGTCAGCCCGGAAACCGTGTGACAGAAACAAATCACAAAATTTTGACCCTCGGAGCCAACACAAGGCCATTCAACCGCACAAAAACAATTGGTGACACGTGTCACCCTGGAAACCGTGACGGAAACCAATTGTAGAGTTGGGATTCTGGTAGCCAACATATAGCTTTTCAGACTCACAAGAACAACGGATGACACGTGTCACCCCCGAAACGGTCTGAGAAAAAAACGATTGTAAGGTTGGAGTTTTGGGACCCAACATGAAGCCCTTCAACTTCACATACGCAGCGGGTGACACGTGTCACCCCCGAAAATGTGTGACAAAAAACCTATTCAACTTCACAAAAACAACGGGTGACACGAGTCACCCTGGAAACCGTGTGACGTACCCAATTCAAGAATATGGATTCGTGGAGCCAACATAAGGCCACTCAGCCTCACAAAAACAACGGGTGGCATGTGTCAAGCGGAAACCGCGTGACAGAAACCAATTGTAAAGTTGGGATTCTGGTAACCAGCACAAAGCCATTCAGCCGCACAAGAAAAACGGGTGACACGTGTCACCCAGGAAACCGTGTGACAGAAACCAATTGTAAAGTTGGGATTCTGGGAACCAACAAAAAGGCCTCACGAAAACAACGGGTGACACGTGTCACCCCCGAAACCGTATGACAGAAACCAAGTGTAAAACATGGATTATGGGAGACAACATAAGACGATTCAGCTTCACAAAAGCAACGGGTGACACGTGTCACCCCCGGAACCGAGTGACACAAACCAATTGCGAAGTGAAAATTCTGGGACCCAACATGAGGCCATTCAGAGCTACAAACACAAAGGGTGACACGTATCACCCCCGAACCTGTGTGAGAGGAACCACGTCTACAGTTTGGAATCTGGGAGCCAACACATAGCTATTCGACCTCACAAACACAGCGGCTGACACGTGTCACCCCCGAAACCGTCAGAGAAAAAGCACTTGTAAAGTTGGGATTCTGGGAGCCTACGTAAGACCATTCTGCCAAACAAAAACAAGGGGTGATACGTGTCACCTCCGACACCGCGTGACAAAACCCAATTGTAAAGTCGGGATTCTGGGAGCCAACATAAGACCATTCAGCTTCACAAAGAAGCACCAGCGGGTGACACGTGTCACAAACCCCGTTGTAAAATTGGGACTAGCGGGCCCAACATGAGGCCATTCAGCCTCACAAAAACAAGGGATGACACGTGTTAGGTTGGGATTCTGGGAGCCAACGCAAGGCCACTCAGCTTCACAAAAACAATGGGTGACACGTGTCACCCCGAAAACCGTGTGGGAAAATCCGAATGCAAAGTTGGGACACTGGGACCCAACATAAGGCCATTCAGCCTCACAAAAACAACAGATGAAGCATGTAACCCCAGAAACCGTGTGAGAGAAACCAATGGTAAAATTTGTATTCTGGGAACCAACAAATAGCGATTCAGCCTAACAAAAACAACGGGTGACACGTGCCAACCCCGAAACCGCGTGATACAATTCGATTGTAATGTTGGGGTTCTAGCAGCCAACATAAGGCCTGTCAACTTCATAAAAACAACGGGTGACACGTGTCACCTCCGATACCGTTTGACAACAACCAATTGTAAAATTTGGGTTCTGGGAGCCAACATAAGGCCACTCAGCCTCACAAAAACGATGGGAAACACGTGTCATCCAGGAAACCGTGTGACAGAAATCCATTATACGATTGGGATTCGGGGAGCCAGCAAAAGGCCACTCAGTTTCACAAAAATAGGGGGTGGCACGTGTCACCCCCGTGTGAGAAGAAACCAAATGTAAAGTTGGGATTTGGGGATCCAACATAAGGCCATTCAAATTCACGAGAACAAAGGGTGACACGTGTCACCCCCGAAACCGTGTGACAAAACCAAAATGTAGAGTCGGGACTCTGGGATCCAACATAAGGCCATTCAGCCTAACAAAAACAACGGGTGACACGTGTCAACCCCGAAACCATTTGCGGAACACCACTTGAAAATTGAGGATTCTGGGACCCAACATAAGGCCATTCAACCGCACAAAAACAATGGGTGACACGAAACGGTTTAAGAACACCCAATTGTACTGTAAAGTTGGGATTCTGGGAGCCAACATAAGGCCATTCAGCTTCACCATAAAAAGGGGTGACACGTGTCACCCCGAAAACCGTGTGAGTCCGGAGTCTAGATAGAGCCCAGGAGTCTGGGGCCCAGGAGTCTAGGGCCCAGGAGTATAGGGGCCACGAGTCTAGGGCGCGGATTCTAGGGCCCAGGAGTCTAGGGCCTTGGAGTCTACTGTAGCGCCCAAGAATATCGGGTCTTGGAGTCTAGGGTCCAGAAGTCTAGCGCCCTGGGGTTAGGGCCGCGGAACCTACGGCCAAGGAGTCTAGGGCCCGGAACTCTAGGGTCGTGGATTGCAGGGCCCAGGAATCCAGAGCCCTGGAGTCTATGGCCCTGGAGTCGGGCCCAGGAGTCTAGGGCCCTGGGGTCTTGAACCCAGAGCTCTAGGGTCAGGGGAATCTAGAGCCCCTGGAATCTAGGGCCCAGGAGTCTAGGGCCCAGGA